TCCTTGCAACAAATCTCTTAATGTCCTATATAGTTTTGCATTTCTTTTTTCTTTTTTCATTTGCATTGCATGTATTCTAATTTTCTTCACTGACAACCAAAACAGGGAATTGAAACAAGGCTGTTTTACTATTTTTGCTCTACTGTGATGATTCAAAAGCAATGAATATACTGTTAAGAATAAGGCATAGTACGTAGAACAGCTTGGCAGGTTAGCTTCAATCCAGCAAACTACCTCAAGTCTTGACAAGGCTGAGGTGACAAATTTTAAGAGTTGGACACTAAGAAAATGTTATCTAATAATAATAATCATCTTCATATATAATAATAATGTGTTCACTACTAATTATTTCTGTTAAGTAGGTACTATTATTACCATTCTGATTTTAGAAATGAGGAAACCAAGCCATGGCATAATTATACAAAGTCACACATCAGGTAACTTAGCTGGGAATTGTAGTTTTGCACTGGTTAAATTCTGTCTAATACAGCCATGAAATTTTTATTTTTCATTTTGAATTAAATCTAATTGACCCCCACCTTGATATTTAAGGTAGATATCCCTCCACAAGTTGTTCTCTTTATTCGGATGAACTGAATGGGGTTCATTATTTTCATAGTAGATGTGAATATGCTTTTAATTCAGCATGTTTTTCTATTTTGCTATATCTTTTCTATCTTTCTGTTTCAGAAGGAAACAATGAATGTAGATTCAATGACAACTTTCTTTTGTAACTTAAAAAGAAGAAATATATTTAGCAATTGCACATGAAAAAAAATAAAACACTCATATCTAATTGGCACAAAATTGAAACCCTTACTACATATGATATTTCTCATAGATTTATATGTGCATTTTAGAAAGGTCTTATATTTTAGAAATGGAATTGCAATATGAAATCACTTTATTAAAACAGAGGTAGACATTGTCATTGCTTTGCCAGCTCACAATCTAATTTTAAATGACTCAGCTGTAAAAATTTCATAATTTTCCTAGGCAGAGTTTCTTAAAACTGTTTTTTAATAATAATAGTTTTTTGTCAAGTTTCATTTCATCCTGATCTACTGTGAAAACCTATAAAACTAGAATAAAGGCACGTACACATAGGCTTTGAGAGCTAACTTGAAAATAAGAAACCAGAGGAAGCCAGATTTGAAACTAAACTCAGATTTTAATTTAACAGAAAGCATTATTCATGACAAACTTTTCTAAAATGAAATGAAGTCCTTTAAAAAAAAAAAAAAAAAACTCCACTCTAGAAATGTTAAACATTTATTCATTTTCTCATTGGGAGTTCCTTTCTTGAGGGTAATAAGAATATGCACAAATAACCAGACTTTTTGATATTTAAATATTACAACCGAAAATTCAAAGTTTTTTTTTCTTCCACGTATGTTAGGTATTATTGTAAAATAAATTATTTTTAATTACAAAGGACTAGTACCAGTAGGTATCTAAGAAATTTATTACCATTTACTTGCAATAACAAACATGTGCTTTGATATTTTTATTTAGTTATTATAAAAACTGAGTTTTCAAGGAAGGCATTTTTAACAAGACTATAGCTTTAAAAATAAATTTACACCTAGCAGTTCTTTAAACTTAAACTAAAAATTGTGGTAGAATAAAATGTCAAGCAAGAGAAACTTTTTCTGTAATATATACATAAGTATTTTCATGTAAACAAAAGCAAAGTTCAAAAAATTAAATTAAATATCTTTGTAAGCAACAGAAATACATAGATCAAAAAGGTTATTTTATTTTACTTCATGCTTCCATTGAATACAACTGGCATAAGCAGAGCAACAGGAATTAGATGAATTTTTACATTTCTCTCACATTTTTCAGGAAATTACATACATAAAGAAATATCCTAGAGAGAGGTGTCTCTAGGAGAAAAAGTACTAGAGTAATTAGACTTCTGAAAGTCATGACTTTCAATTATTAAGTCACTCTTCTTGCTCTACTGTGAAACATATAATATGATTGGGCAAAGGTGAGGGAGTAGTGGGAGGGTTTATGGGGGCAGGAAAGATGGTGGAATGAGATGAACATCATTACTCTAGGTACATGTATGACCATATATATGGTGCAACACTATATCATGTACAACCACAGAAATGAAAAGTTGTGGTGCAATTGTGTAAAATGAATCAAATGCATTCTGTTGTCATATATACCTAATTAAAATAAATAAATTATTATTTTTTTTTAAAAAAAGAAGAAAGTAAAGCTAACACTGGCAAGATCCACACTAACACACTTGGCGGCCAATCAGGCACACAGACATAGATTTTCCTCTCAATGTGGATTACCCATGCACTAGGAGATAATAGTTTCCAACACAAAACAATTGTTTTGAGATAAAACAGACAATATTTAAAGGATATTTATACAGGAGTGTTTTTTGGAAGTGTGCCCTAGGGACCACCTGAACCACAATCACACAATATGTTCAATATAACAAAAATGTACATTCCTGGGCTCAAATACAGATCCTCTGTGAGCCAAGAATCTGTACTGGTCCTCTTGCTTAGAAATATTTAAACACTTTGAAGTTTAAAATATCACTACCAAAGACTATTTGTGATTTCTCTTGACTTTTCCTTTTGACCACACTATTTAATTATCTCTTTCATACTTCCTATTTATTAGCCAGAAGGAAAAGAAAACAGCATCATATCTGATTATGTCAGTCAGCAGTGATAAGTAGTAGTGGTTTTCCTCCCCTCAAGAAAATATGGGGGAATAAGCAACAAGCAATTTTGCACCTAAATTTATTGAAGGTGCACCATAGTACTTTTTTTTAAAGCTTTCAAAATGTATACATAATATATTTTCAAAGTGATTTGTAAACTGTCATCTGATCAAGATTATCCAGTGTAAAGAGAACGGCATTGTTGTTGCTGAATTCTTACAAAGGCCCCTCACAGTCTTCTCTCAGGAACAATGAGCATCTGAGCAGGCTCTCCTGAGCTCTCAGCAAGGGAGGCACTGCCCACTCAGCAGCACAAAAGCACTTACAGCCTGCTCATCAAACAAGAAGAAAAAACAAAGCCCAGTCAACTCCATCTACAAAACCTCAAGACCTACCAATATGTAAGATGAATACAGATCATGTCGACTTTCCTGAGAGAAAGCTGAATCTCAAATATCTTTACTAATGATATCTGTTTGAAATCCAGTTTATGCTGACAATGGAAAGTAAAATACACATCAACATGCTACTAGTATCTACTGCAGTATTTATGTCCTAAGGAACCCCATGGACAAAAACAATTTTATCTGTGGTTAATATAAGTTAGAAATTAAAGAGGTAGGTGACTATCATCTGAAGATGACCCCACAACATGCTGAATAATATACTTGACTTCCAAAAGAGTTCTTTAACTGGACAGTGAATTCCAACACCGTTGTAATTGCTGAGCAGAGTTTCCCAACATCCTAATTCCTGATGCCAAATCACCAGCTTTTAAGACATCCATTTTTAAGAAATAACTAATGAAGTAAAATGTAAAGAAGTAATACTGGATACCAAAAAGTGATGCTGACATCAGCTGGGCTCTTCAAATAGCTATAGTCTCATATGAAGGAAAAGCACATTGAAGTTGGATAAGACCTTACAGATTCACCTAATCCAACTCTGGTTTTACAATTGAAGAAACAGGCTGATTTTTTTCCCAATGGCTTACGAAGCACTAAAATTCTGAAAAGATGTTATAAATCTATGGTTAAATTACCAAGTTATCCCATGATATAGCCAGGAGGCCACATTTTCAGCCCTTATGGCCTAAGTCTGTAGTTCCATCCCAGTTGGCTGTTATAAAGTATGCCAGTGGTAACAGGAGGTGACCGAAGGCCCTGCATGCACCTGAGGAGACAGATAGTCAGCAAGAGAAAAATAATTTGAAGCCCACAGATCTTCCCTATTAAAACCTGCTCTAGGCTCAGATAAGGATTAATCTTCCTTCTTTGTGGTAGATACACCTCTGGGTACATTCACAAAGTCTAGCTCTGCTTAGGAGAAAAGCACTGGGCATTAAAACTGTTTTGCATGGAACATTTAGAACTAATACAGCTGGACTACTGGAAACCTCCAAACCCACAAGGGCAAGGCCTACATATTTCTGTATTTAATTGTTCAATAATTGTTGGTTATTTATTTACATATCAAAAAGTCACCTTATTGACTTATTTTCATATTTATTTTTATCTTTAGATTTTTAAGATCTGTAAGTGATTTTATGTTTCCTTTTCTACTTTCCAGACTTTCTGTTCCATATTTCTCTTGGTAATTCAAAAAATGAAGCTATTTTTAAAGAAAACATCTTGGTTTTAAAAAAAATGTAAAGGATATGCATAGTTCCTTCATGACTATGAAACATTTAAGTTGAATAAAGTGTCTGTATGGTACAGCAAAACAGTACAGTCTCAGGATCTCAGCAGATGTTTGGATCCCAGCTTTACCACTAACCTTGCACAGGATTATAGTCCAAGTCATGCTTTCTTCATCTGTAAGAAGTTAAAAATAACATCTACCTTACAGAATGCCATGAGGATAAAATGATGCACAGCGCCTGGCAAATAGTAGGTGCCCGTAAATGTGGTAATACTCCCTAGTAAGCTTGGTGAGAATCCTTGAGTAAAAGGAATTACCACAGCCTGCACCAGCCATCTCCCCCCAAGTGCATTCCCCTTTGAATCTGCAAGGGGCTCTGTTGCCTCAATTGTTCCCTATTGCTCCAAAGAGTTGCTATTGTGCTTTGAAAATTTTCTACATTTTTATGTTCTCTCTTTCAAAACTGTACATGCAGATAAAACATTTTTTAAAAAACCATCTTCCTAGAAATGACAGTGCACATTTCCTGAAGCAAACATGTCATGTACAAAAACAATTCTGAAAAATATGACTGAATTAATCTGTTCATTGTTTCTTAAAGTGCACCAAAGTAAATAGTAATGACTTTTAAAATGTCACTAACCTCCTTGGGTTATTTTTAAAAATAAAACTAAATATTTATCAACTGAGATGTATGGGTTTTTGGCTCCAATGTAATGGCAAGAAGCAGCAGTGTTGTCCAGAAAAAAAAGAATTGATAAATTCAACTAAGCATTCCTTAGCAGCAAACAAAACACTAACAATTTAAGATAACTGCAGGCTCAATAGAGCACAATCCTGATTCCTGCCACAAAAATAAAATCTGTCAATAAAACAAAACAATCTCCCCAATCTAAATCAAGGATTTTTCTTGAACCCTGAAGGTAACATTTATGTTAACTTTCCTATTTTGTATCCTTGGTAACAGGACTATAACAAATCACCATTCTTTCTTTACACTGCACACACACACTCACACACACACACACACAACCTATAAAAAAACAAAGTTTAAGTGGAGAAGCCATGTGAGCAAAGTTCAAAGTCAAGAGCAATCATCACCCAAAATGACAGACAGCTCCAATATTCACACCACCGTCCGATGTTCCCCACACACATAGACAGCACTGGGACGTATCCTTCGCCTTGTGTGACCAGGGAGCTGTGGCAGAAACTTGAAGGACTTCGGCATCATGTCCAGGCAGGCGTCATGGAATTTCTTAATCCTCCAGTAGTAGATCAGTGGGTTCAATGCAGACTTGAGGTAGGAGAGCCAGAGTAGCCAGGTGCTTATCTCAAAAAAGTTGTGCTTATAGTAAAAGTGCTTACTGAATGTTGCCACAAGGCTGTAAGTGGTGAATGGAGCCCAGCAGACAATGAAAACAGCAAAAAGAATCAAAATGGTGGTGAAGGCACGTGTTTTAAAGCCCATGTCTATGCTCATCTGGAAGGGTCTCTGTAGACTCATGAGACCCAGTTTGCTGGCCTGGCTTAGGCATATACCTTCTGGGTAGCTATGGATCCTCAAGGCATTGTGCCGGAGGGTGTTGAGTATGCCCATAAATGAATACAGTATCACCAGGAAAGGTATGAAGAAAGAAATGAGAGAAATCAAAATCACATAGGCCTGGTAACCAGGATTGGTTGTGTACCCAAATACACACTGGGGGGCTCGGGAAGGTATCTGCAGGTCAGGGTTTCCTACAGCCAAAGGAAAAGCTACACAAAAAGAAGTTACCCAAGAAACTGCAATCAGAACCTTAGCCCTATATGGATTTAGCTTATCCTGCCTCTGGACTATAATAAGGAATCTATCAATGCTAATTATGAGTAGGATGGCAACTCCCTCTATCACAAACAACCAGAAAAACATAGCTGAAACTCTACAGAAGAATTTCCCAAAAATCCATCTGGTAGTAAGAATAGTTACCAGAGCAAAGGGCATGTTCAGTACTGCAAGCAACATGTCTGCAAAAGCCAGGCTGGCAAGGAGGATATTAATTGCAGATCGCATGGCAGCTTTTTGGTAAACCATGAGGCAAACAACCAAGTTCCCGAGAAAAGACACAGACAGAATAAATATCATGATAGCAGAAAGGATGATCTGAAGAGGCAAGCTCAGACTCTTGAAAACAGCTGGTGTTGCGGGCACACCTGTGCTATTCACTGTCAAGGAACTGAAACCAGTGGGAGCCATGGTTTCAAAACTGTATCTAAGCAGTGGACCAACGGTGGGAGGCTGGAACAGTGGAGGGGCCGTGATATTCATGTGGGAGTTTTCATAGACCACAAATGTTGTGTTGGATATCCCAGTATGGGACGCAGTCAACACTGCTGAGAAGACCATGGTTTCAGGAAGACAGAGGGTGCAGGCAAAGATGTGTGTGTTCTTCAAGCATTTCAACACAGAACAGCAGTATCAGGTTCCACTGATGGGCTTGGAAACACATTCTGGAAAATGGACAAAGGGTTCCATCTTCCACAGGAGTTCTTCTGCCTGAAAACAAGGCCACAACATGAAAAGTGAGAAATGAGCTTTGTAAATAACATTTGAGTTCTTACCTCATGTAGGATCAGTTTGCTCTTTTTCATACCTTGAAAATATCATTGTTCTGTTGTTTTACTTTGAGTCAACCATGATGGAAATTTCATGGCATTCATATATAAAGTGAAAAGGATCTCAAAATATTACTGCCCCAAAGATAAAAGTTATAACATCATTATTAACTCTTTTAAAATTTAAAATAATGTTATGCCCTTGCTAGTACACATTGTATTATATGGTTCTCCTAAGAGTACTAATTTTTTAAGAGCTTTATAAATACACATAGTATTTGGGTTCATTCCAACAAACCCAAACATGCAACTTCTTACCAATTTCTACAATACACAAGTTTTATGTAAGGGGATTTCTTAATCTATTATCTCACCAACTAATTTTCTTCCTTCTGTAGGTCTTTCCTAGAGAAATAACATTTTACTTAAAAAAAAACTATCTTTAAATCTTTTAGACGTCAATAAACTCTTAAAAGATTGGGAAAAAATATACAGAAATTGTAATAAAAATTGTAATTTGCTCATTACATGGATATAGAATTAAGTAATTGATTTTTACAGGTAATTGCCAAAATTTCATGTACTTATTTCTTGATATATGAAAGGTGGGTATCTCACTTGAGAGATCTCAGACCCAACATTATAGCCAAATTATGGGCTCCCTACCATACCTGTATCTATCTATAACCCCCTTTTTTTGTCCAGCACTGTTTTTATAAATAAGAAAACACTGATCTATTTGGTCAGCTTATCAATTTTACTACTTCCTCTCATTTTATAGCTTATTTCTTTGCATCTACTACATTTTATCCATCCTCACATATTCACTGTGAAATGCAAACATTCCTGGACAAGATCCCATGTTTGACCAGTGGCTCTCAAACTTTATAACCAAAAAGGGATCAGTGGGGAGGGACTAAAGTTGTTGAAAGGCTTTTCATCATAATCACTACAAAAACATATATATCATTAAAAATAAAACTGTGCTTACTGCATAAGTCAGCCTCAATATAAGTCTACCTCCTGAGAAAAGTTATAAATGAAAAAATGTACATCTTAAGTCTAATGTAACACCTTAAGTTGTGTTTGACCAATTGTGTTAAAACACATTTAAAAAATATATACCATCTTTCAGTAGTACACAGTTAAAAACAGTTTCCTCGGGGGGTGAGGGAATATCTCTGTGGTATAGCATGAGGCCTTAAGTTCAATCCCCAATACCCCCCAAAAATAAAAATTTAAAAACTAAAATGAAACAGTTTCCTGGACTATGTTGAAGAATAAAAACAAACAAAACAAAGAAATGAAACTAAAGCAAAGGTTTAATTTAAAAGGTGCTTTTTTAAAGTTGTTATATTTGTATATGTAGCCATAATGACTTTTCTGCCATTAACCCTCTCATTACTATAAAAACTTCTAACTCAATTAATTTAGTTAGTCCTCAAGTATTTATTGAAGAGCTTACTATATTTCAGTCACTGAAGAGAAAATAATTAGAACACCTGCCTAGGATGCATGAGGCCCTGGAGTCCACCCCCAGCAGCTACCCCCCCAAAAAAGGTAGACTCACAACAAACACTGCATCCCCCAAATCACAATGAATAGACAATTAATGGATTTTTTAAAACAAATTGTGCAAACCCAAAAGACAAGAGGTATGAATAAAAGACACATCTAAAAATATTTTAAGGCAAAAAGCAAATGGTGTGATGCTTACTAACTTAACAAAGCAGAACAGAAAACAATGTATCCTTAATCCTTTCAAGGAAATATGCTTTGAGGAAGATAGACCTCCCAGAGAAGCTGTGGAAATCAGTAACCACAGAAAGTACATGTGGAGCAAAAACTGGAAAGATAACTGAAAATCAAAAATGACTGAAACCCTACTCCAGGCCTGGGTCTCCTCTCCTCTGAGGCATCATGTGACAGCATCCATCCCTATTCCAGTAGCCCAAGTCTGTGGTAGAACTGAACCTGACAAGCACCAAACTAAGAATTATCAGTGTGGACTGCAAATAAGGAAATCAAGTCACTATTTAGAGAAAATTCAGCATCAGAACCTAGCTCCTTTCTTACCCTGGAGGATCCAGAGGACACAATGCCTTCATCAAGGCTTTGAGAAACACTTTGGTTGAGAAGATCACCAGAGCATCTTTGAAGATCTCTGCAAGAGCTTTCTCTGCAGGCCAGGAATGACAATGGGCACTATTACCATTTAGAAATGGGGTACTGGGATTGAATGGGGATGACAGTATCACAGAGTGTCACAGGCTGAGTGACAGCACTTACCCAGAGATAAAGTGAGCATGGTTACCATAATGGCAACTGAGTGAAACCTGTAGTCAGAATAGTTTGACTTGCAGAGACCATTAGAAACCTAATAGATCCTACTTAATCTACATAAGCAGAAAAGCTAAAAAATAGAAAGATGCAGCCCCTCAATAAATTCTCAAAATTGATCCAATACACAGTCCTATAGCCCTTGAGTAAAAGGAAGCCAGGTCCTCTTAAGGAAGGACCTTGTTACACGGCAACATTTTTTAAAAATTTCTTTATTTGTTCTTTTTAGATATACAGGACAGTAGAATGTATTTGGACATATTATATATACATGGACTATAACTTATTCTAATTAGGATCCCATTCTTGTGGTTGAACATGAGGTGGAGTTACACTGGTCATGTATTCATGTATGAAACAGCCAAATATTTAAACTATAAATCTTCCTCTCAGTCTTCCCCCAAAACACCTGCAGTCAATTACCAGGGTGAATGCACATTGGAGAAAGAGAAAATATTCAGAATTTTGTGGGATTGCTTAATATGACTCTGAACTAACACTCATTCCTGGAGTGTACTGTGGTACTGTGTTTCACCATCCTGAGCAGGTGTTTAAAGAAATCACATGATTTATGATTTATGGATTATGGGCTCAGGACCAACTCCCAGTCATCCCAGAATTCATGCCATGGTTATTTTTCCCAGTTTTAAAATATAGAGTTGGTACAGACATAGTCAGGAGATTCTCTCACTGGCTTCTTAATCTGGAGTAAGGCCATAATGGTGTAATGGTCAAACGCAAACCTCTGGAACTACCTCTACCTATGAAAATAACAACCAAAAGCACTATTTCATTCCTATAGGGATAGAAGAGATTAGGATCACCATTGAGGACTTGAAAGATGAAGATCTTGCCAACCACATCTCCATTCAATTTGCCTAATTGACCATGCAAAAAAATGGACATATTTGGGTACCAGATGTGGATTCATTGTTGGAGCAAATCAACATATTCTCTGGCATCTGGCACACAACTATTGATCTATCAAGTTCTGTTTTTTTCTTTATATTTGTTAGCAAAGACTACCTGAAGGATTTTGCTTCCTACTATCCTACTAGGACTCTACCAACTCTCCAACACAGACATAATATAGCCCATAGGGACGGACCTTGATTGCCACTCCATTCCATACACTGCCATGCTATCCAATCATATGCTGACTCAACAGTAAGTAGTAACTTCCCTATATATGTGTGTCAGAGGGTAGAGAAATTCCTTCAAAACTTCAGAGGCACTTGATTTTTGTAAATATTCTAGGGATCTAATAATGTCAGGCTATCTCTTACAAAATGTTATCTCCCTCTTCCTATTACTACAAAAAGAGGCATATAATCTAGTATGTGCTTTTTTTCCCCCTTGAGGCAATATACACCTCATTTTGACATTATTCTGACCCATTTATCAAGTAACTTGAAAAGCTTCCAGGTTTGAATAAGATTCAGAAATAGGTCCAGACTGCTATGAAAGCTATTCTTTCACTTGGTCTGTATAATTCAACAGATTCACTGGTGTTTTAATTGTCTGTGGCAGTCAGGGATAATATATGGTACCTGATAGACACCCTACAGCTGAATCACAGCACAGACATTTAGATTTTTGGAACAAAACTATGCAAGATGAGCACTCCATTTGAACTTGATTTTGCTTGACCTCCAAAGCCATAAAAATTAAGAGTACATCCAACACAGTGACGCTCGCCTGTAATCCCAGCAGCTGGGGAGGCTGAGGGAGGATGATCGTGAGTTCAAAGCCAGCTTCAACAAAAGCAAGGCACTAAGCAACTCAGTGAGACCCTGTCTCTAAATAAAATACAAAATAGGCTGAGGATGTGGCTCAGTGATCAAGTGCCCCTGAGTTCAATCCCTGATACATAATAATAATAATAATAATAATAATAATAATAATAATATAATGAGTGCACAGGACATTAAACCTTAAATGGAGGTTGTATATGTGAAATCATGCCTGGCAAATCCTATAGGCACACTGGCAAATCTAAGCAAGTGGCTCAGATTTTCATAACTCCTATTCTTAATACATTGATCCTCTCTTTAAACTTAACCTGTAGCATCACTGAGAGGTTTCTTATGACCAGTTAACTAAAGAAGAAAAATTCGGGTCTGATTTAAAAATGGTGTTATACAATATGCTTGCCACTCAAAAGTAAAGAGTGATAGCATGAGGGTTCTCCTTGGGAGCCCTAAAGGACATACAAAGGGAAAAGCTCCAACCAGGCAAGACTTTGACCAATATACCTGGTTGTTCATTTTTTAAAGGAGATACATCAGAGGTGCGTAGGTACAATCATTTATGAATGGTGACTCGTGTTTTGGCTGACTGGTCATTTAAAGCACACTGAATAACAATCTCAGAGAAAAGGACTTAATTATCAGGTAGATGACTAAATTTATGGAGCTTAACCAATCTCCTTCTTTAGTCACCCCTGTTCTTCACCAAAGGGCTCATGAACAATATGGCCATGGCAGAAGGGAAGTAGGTTATATATGGGCTCAGCAACATGGACTTCTCACCAAATCCAATCTGGCCACAGTCATTGAGTACTCAATCTAGCAACATAAGAAACAAAGTTCAACTTATTAG